AGGTCTCAGTTAGTAGTGTTCTTAAGGTCCTGGAAAGCTTGAATGTAAACAAGTCTACTGGCAGCGACGGGCTACACCAGTCCGTCATCAGACCACTAGTTCCTGTGCTCGCCCCTGCAATAACCGCAGTCTACCAGGAGTCTCTAAGGGCTGAGAGAGTACCTAGTGATTGGGCGACTGCCACAGTGGTAGCCATCCACAAGAGTGGAGATAGAAAACAACCTGGTAACTACAGACCCGTTAGTTTGACCAACGTGCTGTGTAAGGTTTTTGAAACCATTGTTAGGAATGCTCTCTGTGAGCACGTCACTCGACATAGGTTGATTAGCCCTGCCCAGCACGGCTTTTTCAAAAACGGGTCGTGTTTGAGCAACCTTTGTTTCCTAGACGAAATTACAAGGAGGTTAAATGGAGGTCAGAAAGTCTAAATGTGCTACCTGGACTTCAGGAAAGCTTTCGACTCGGTAAATCACCGGCTTCTACTAATAAAGCTCAGGGGCTTTGGTCTCCTAACAGCTTTAATTAGATGGATAGAAGCTTTCCCCACCAACCGGACCTATGACGTTCGGATAGGAGAAGCTCTTTTCAACGTTGGCAGCGTATCCAGTGGAGTGCCTCAGGGCTCAGTGCTGGGCCCGATGCTTTTTCTGCTGTTTATAAATGACTTGATTCATGAACTAGCGGTTCCTGCCTTCATCTTTACCGGCGACGTAAAACTAGTGAACTCCGGACCTGCATATCAACTAGAAGCTTATCTGGCTACGGTTGTCCCGTGGACACAGAAGTGGAACTTGGAGCTAAGCGTTACCAAATGTCATGTCCTACATACCGTAGGACTCCCGGTTCGAGTGACTACGACCACGGAACCGACGGTATTCGCTCGAGTAGACCGAATGCTGGATCTGGGAATTTTTGTCCGCGAGGACGTTAAGCCCAGTGATCAATGCCTGGCCGCCGCACAAAAAGCAAGAGAGCAATTGCTCCAGCTTAAGGTGGCCCTGTCGTCAAGGAAGACTGGGGTTTTCTTACCTCTATATAAGGCCATAGTTAGATCGCAGTTAGAAATATTGCGTACAGGCTTGGGCGCCTTACTTGAGGAAAGATATAAATGGCATTGAGAGGGTGCAACGGTTAGTCACTAGGATGATCGCGGGAATAAGGGGTAAAACCGTCCTGTGCAATCTGACCCGACCATATAGTTTGTGTCTATACCTTACCTAACCTATCGGGGCCTTATGTTGTTCGCCAAACCAAGTCCTGGGGCTTAGGTTGCCGGTTTCCATCAATGAACAGCAGGTCATCGTTACTATGGGGTTTACCCCGCCTGCTGTTCATCACAATAAATTTTGTCCAAAAATCGCATAGAAGCAAATGAGAATTCTCACTTTGGCATAGACAGTGGTCCATGTTTGCCACTTATCAAGTAAATGTAAGTAAGGCACTTGATCTGAGTCTAATTATGCAGAAATACTTTTTTATTTATGGTTCAGAGACAACCGTGCACGATAAAAACGGCGTATACTTCCACAACTTTCCTATTCATTTGTCGGCGCACTTTACCCGTTGAGGCCCACCCCCATAGTCCTGAAGTTACCTGTTTCTACCCACCATATATTTTTTTCTAATGATCTAAGCTGTTTTGTAAATGTTTGAATAATTTTACGAAATTGTCGATATATTTAGGTAAGGATTACGGATTTCTCTATGGAGGTGAACGTCTGGCCATTTTGCTTTGTCCTTGAAGACTTCGAAGCCATGTCAGATGTCAAAATTCCAAGGTAAAGCTTGTGTGCAGTTTTTACAAAACCGTTGTTTGTTAAGGAAAGAGAGAATGTGTTTGGGGTCACGTAGCACACGTTAATCATCATGTATAGAAGGCAGGGAGGCGCCCCGTATAAGCCTTTTCACCACCGGTAACGATAGCAACCCGCTCATCTGTCTGCAAGTTGCCACCATCTCACCAAGTGCGCATCGAGATGTTTGAATTGCTCTTCGTTCTGCTCCTCCGCCACCTCCGATGGGAGTGAATTCCAGAGAGTTCTGAGATATCCAGGATGCGATGTGCGAATCACTATCGGTTTCATGGATGCAGACACCGAAGTGTGCCTAAATAGCGGAGAAGCATTTTGGAGCCGTATCTGGCGCAAATGGATCTGTCGGTGACATGATTTGGGCCATCTGGGTGAGGTGCAATACCTCATGTGAATTCATTTCTCACTCCGAACATTCACTTATGACTGACAAATTTCTACCACAAATCAGGCAGTTCCATCCATGTTCAAAATTTATAGAATCCTTTTTTGTACAATACACACTTTCACCAGACAACATTTAGTTTACTGTTCCATAGTCATTAGCGCATTTCATGCTATTTAAGAATAGTAAATATAAATTGCGATCATTTTGCAAGGGTGGGTTCGCACGAGTAAAGTACGCCCGTTTGTCCACACATATGTATGTGGAGACTTGGACTGGGTATCGAGCCTAAGACTCCGGAAGCGCATCCAGGAATTCCAACTGAGGTACGCAAAAGATGGACCTTCTCGGGGCATACATGAGTACTAGGCGTGAAGTATGTATTTCACACACGTGTTCAGACTTTATACTGAACAAATCACGGTACAATAATCTTTATGAAAAAGAAAGACGTTCCATGATTTGCAAGTGGGAGGAATATTGCCAGGTTGCCCAGGCCAAGGCAGGTGAATTTTCTTGAGGAATCCACAACCGAGGCCTTTAGCTGGCCAAAGCCCGACCCTTAAGGCAGCGGGGCGGTTGGGGAAAACCACAATCCATTGACGACCGGTGTGCAGTTCATCGGATCGTATGCCCTAAAGACAGGGTCAAAGTCCAAGGTGTCGAATACACCTCGATGCCAAATTGGGCCAGTGATCACTGCCGCAACCAGGAAGCTGTGGGTTTGTGGTTCGTAATCCTCTTGTTTGGTTTGGAATCAGGAGTTTTGGCCAACTCCTCTAAGTGAAACAGCCTATCCTAGGGCGAGGATAGCGGTATCCATTTGCTCCCAGGTAGTAGACTATCTGACCTATAGTATTCAGACGACATTGTGCTTCTGAGTGAAGATCCAGTTAATTTGCAAGCTTTTCTGTATAGTTTGAGTGCTAGTGTAGCCATGTTGGGCATGCGTTTTGCACCTTTAAAGTGTGAAATGTTACTACAAAACTGGGTTGGTCCAGCACCCAGTCTCACTCTGACTGGGGGAGTAGTAGGGAAAGTAGACAAATTTTGTTATCTGGGAAGCTATATCTCACCTGGTGGGCGCATCACAGATTAAGTGTCAGTTCGCATACAGAAGGCTCGGTTGGCATTTGCCAACTTGAGACATCTGTGGCGCCGTCGCGACATCCGGCTGTCTGTGAAGGGTCGAGTGTATGCCGTGGCAGTTCAACCAGTTCTGCTCTAGGATGCAGAGACTTGGACACTACGGAAACAGGATAAAAATGGATTGTCGGTGTTCGAACACCGCTGTCTACTTCGCATTGCACGAGTTAAGTGGGGTAACCGGACTAGAAATGCTGAGGTTAGGCGTAGAGTTTTAGGCAGTCGCGGTCGTCCACTGGAGCAATCGATCGACCTCCATAGATTACTTTGGTTGGGGTATGTGTTACGCATGTCACCAAATAGGTTGCCACGGCGAGTAATGTTTACCGAGGCAGGTAAAGGTTGGAAAAGGGTCAAGGGTGGTCAAACGAAGACCTGGCATGAGGGTACATGCTTCCATGACCCCGCGAGCTATACAGGACGGCTCCTTACAGCCGCAGATCCAATCATGCCTGAAAGGTCAAGCGATAGAGGCCAGACGAAGATCAGTCTCACGAGGCCAGCTGCTTGAGCACCTCCTGACTTCCTTCATCTATCCACACCCGCCCCTAGAGAGGTCACTCCAGCGAAGGAACACGGTGAGAGGCATTTTACCGGTCAAAACCCCCGCCAGATAGACGTAGGAGTGGGGTACCTAGGGCTTCTTCTCGACGTTGGGAGAAGTCCTCGTACTTCATTGGACAACTATCACCCGACCAAGCTGATTGAGAATATAGGTTTCGTATCTTAGAGGAATGAAAATAATCTCGGCTCACTTCTTGTAATATTTCATGCATATTTCAGACTTGTCTGATGCCACTATGTACCAAACAAATCATGATACAAGAATGTTTATAAAAAATGGTGCATGATTTGCATGTAGGTCGAATACGGCCAGGTTACCCAGACCAAGGCAGGTGAATCTTCTTAGGGAATTCACAACCAGAGCCTTTAATTAGCTGAAGTCTGTTCCACAAGGCAGTGGGGCAGTGTAAAAACCGCAATCCATTGGGGTCGGTGTACAGTTCATCGGATCATTCACCCTTTGGAAGGTGTCCAATACACCTCGATACCCAATCGAGCCTGTGACCACTGCCAGAAGCAAGGTGTTGTTGAGTGTAGTTCGTCAGCCTCTTCTTGGTTGGTTTGGAATTAGGGTTTTTAGCCAGCTCCCCTAAGTGGACTACCAGTGGTTCACCGACACGATTATAGCCCGGTGGGAAAACACCATAATGAGAAGGCAGTTAGTAGGGCTTCAGCAGAGGCTACTTGAGACGCTTGGTTGTATAGGAGCGTTTCGTGAGGTACAATAAGTGACGTGCCACAACCTAAGACCCTGACCCCCATCATACTGAGGACTTCGGAGGCACAGAGACTAAGCAAATCAATGGTATTCCTAAAACCCGGTATCCCACACCTAGCTAAAATATCACTACTTGCAGCTACTTGTTTGTCACATGCTAATAAATTTGAACCCATTTGGAATGGTTAATTAAGACTGTCTTGGCAAGTATAGGATGCGTTTTCCGTTAAATGAGACTATGATACATGATGTTTTGTTATTTTTGCAGATCGCCCTCTCAAGGAAGAATATTTCTCTGTAATTTGGATGCACTCTCCGTTCGTGCCGAAAAATATCAAACGCAACTAAACCTCATCTATCACAAAACCGCCTACATATGGCTGCCAAAGGTGGTGGAGAAAAAAAATCAAAGAAAAAACCACCCATGCGGATGGCGATGGATGTAGTGAAGCGCATCATGTGGGACGAGAAAATACCAGAAGACTTGATAACGGTTGGATACGAGGATCGTTTTCTTGGCATATTAGAAAAGCCTTTTGATGAATTTTCCTGGGAACCCTTAGACAGTTTGGACTACTATAGCTTCGGTGTGCCTGAGCACCGGATACAATATTTTAAGTATAGGGACACCATCATTTGGGATAAAAGAACCAGATTGGATAACGTATATGGGTCCACTGGATCCGGGATTTCTATCGAACAAGTAATGGAAGATGCGGACAAGGCTTTTCGTCAGAAAATCGAGGCTTCTAATTCAGATGAAGTCGCAAAGAAAGAACGTTGCGAATCTTCTGATGACGATGCTGTTGGTGTGGTTATTGGTGAAACCGAAGAACCGCTGAACAATTTGTCAGACGATGAGGATGACGAGGGAGCCTTTTGGCAAAACAAATTACGTCCCAACTTCTTCATCTGTCAACGGGCAGATAGCCAGTTGTTGAGAGAAAAAGCTGCTACCTTACAATCTTACGTTTGTCAAAAAGAGCCACTTCTTGAAAGTTGTTGTATCCAACCCAACGCCTTACACATGACCTTGCGGACTCTCAGACTTGATGATGCGCAACAGGTTGGTTGATTTCGCTCAAATGAATAAATCCTTGAGTTTTAGTCGAAAAATATGATCTCGTTTCTTAGTGCTAATGTGAATTTTTTGGATAGTTGATCCCTTGATGCACATATATTTTTTTATTTCAAGGTATCCGAATGTATTAAGGCTCTAAAACTGGCAAAAGAAGAACTTGAAGATCTTCTCCCATCCGCTCCTATGGAAGTGCGTGGTGTAAACAATTTTCACAACCGCGTGGTTTATGCTGCAGTCGTGCCAACGGACGAGCTGAATTTGTTTGTCGATCATCTGGACCTCGTTCTTCGCACGGCCGGCCTAACGATTCCTGATGGGCGAGATTTCGTTCCACATATCACATTGGTTAAGGTAAGGTTTAAATTGATATATTGATCTTCAGATTATTTTTCACTTTCTTGAGTAAGCAATCGTATAATTTATTTTCACGTTATAAGTTTAAATTTTGTTAGTTACTGTTTCTCTGGTTATGCGGTCATCAAACAGGTGCTAATGCCGTATAGAAAGGCGGCTGATGTGTATCGCTAGAACTCTTGAACTCATAGTTTAACAATACTGGTACGGTTCGCGAAGTCTATAAAACGTCAGACAATCGAATCGTACGCCCTTCGGATGGGGCTTCCACGTCCATGGTGCCTATTCGAGCGGGTGACTGCATATCCAGTAGTCGTGGGGAGGGGGAGGGTCTTATGCCTCATCATGAGTTTACCAACTTCCCTAGATGAGCTAGTTGCTGGTGGCCTATCAACCCGAACATGGGTCTGAAGTTCAACTTTTCGCGTTTTGACTTCAGTGAAAACACCTCCCCCATCACAAGAAGGCAGTGTGTATGACTTCCCTCAACTGAGGATGAAGATGTACTCTTATGGGAGGTATTTCGAGAAGATCTCAGGACGTTTATATCCGCTTACCGGAACCAACCACCGATCGCGCTTCTGTGCTTGGGATAACTACAGAGGCACTAACCAACGGGATTTTCACTTTAAAACAGGCCGCATCAGCTAACTATTGCATAACTTCCCACGGCAACCTGTTTAACATTTTTGCATGCGACATTCTACTCCGCAAATCGCGAACTCCTCTGGGACATGTCACTAAATACATAGGTCAACGATTAAACCATGGATTAAATCTGTTTACATATTGATGGTGCCAAAAAGGGGTTTACAGTTCCTGAATCTTGTGTAGCGCGAAAACAAAAACACCCAGACTACCAAAATACGAGTATTATTCTCAACAATCGAATCTCTCTGGTTATAAATCAGCGAATCTTAGCTAATAAAGGTTTGAAGTAGTCAAGTCAAGTCAAGAAAAGCTTGATGCACCCAGAGTAGTTTAGTAGTAGTAGTAGTAGTAGTAGTAGTAGTAGTAGTAGTAGTAGTAGTAGTAGTAGTAGTAGTAGTAGTAGTAGTAGTAGTAGTAGTAGTAGTAGTAGTAGTAGTAGTAGTAGTAGTTTACGAATTTTACAGTGGATAGATAAAACCAATTACAAACAAAAAAGACAATAAAGAAAATTCTACACTTTAGTAAATGAGAGAAAAATTAGTTCAAGAGTTTTTCCCTGAAGTGGGTGAGAATATTCTGACGATAAACTAGTAACCGAGCTAGATATGGAATTACACTGTTTCGATATATAGAACCGCAAAAAGCCAGTGACAACGATACAACGTCAACGATTGCTGCAAATCGGCCCACGAAGCAGAACTCTCCGATGGCCTGTCAGTTTAACCACCAGCCGAAGGACTCAATGAACACTGGAACCAAATCGAAGAAGCTATGCTAATGCCGATAAAAACAACGTCAGACCCTCACTCAAGCCCAAAACATAAACGATGGATTTCATCGACCTCGGCTGCCCTGCTGGACGCCCGCAGCACCCTTCCTCCTGATGCCGCATATGACACAGCGCGCAAATCCCTCAAACGCCAGCTCATCAAGGGTCTGAGGAATGACCGCGAGAAGAGGTGGATAGGAAAGTGTAAAGAGATGTAGCAGGCTGCGGCTATACGTAATAGTCGCAATCTTTTCCGTTTAATTAGGANATACGGGTCCTAGGAAAATAGGCGTAAGTGAGGTAATTAAGGAATCCGATGGTACGCTGATTCACGATAAGCAACGCCGTCCGATCGATAGGCTGAACATTTCGAGGCTCAGTGTAACTGGCCCCCATCAACATCTGACCTCTCCGCACCTCGAATGGGCAAATACTGCCAGTTGATGCCAGTCCTCCATCAGTAATGGAAGTTTCCCGGAAAATAAGGAAAAGGCATAAGGCCTCTGGTCCAGATGGTCTGTTCCCTTCGGCGTTTAAGAACGGAGGCTCGGCGTTAGTCGTGGAGTTGACGAAATTCCTGGGCTCAATATGGGAAGGGGAACAGGTTTCAACCGAATGGTGTAAATCGGTGATCATACCGATTTACAAGAAAGGTCCTCTTGCGAAAACCATAGAGGAATTAGTTTAACCAACATTGCCTCTAAACTTCTCGCTGGCATCATACTCCGTCGATTGTCTGCCGCACGTGAAGAGCGCACGCGTGAGAACCAGCCTGGCTTTAGACCTGGTCGAGGTTGTATCGACCACATCTTCGTTCTTCGCCAAACTCTGGAGTATCGACATTCTTTTCGTGGACCCACCATCCCTGTCTTTCTCGATTTGAAAGCGGCTTTTGACTCAGTCAACCACTCCAAACTCTGGCGCTGCCCGTCGCTTAAGTGAGTGCCCGAGGAGTTTATTGAAATATTACAATGCCTTTGTACTAATAGCCGAAGTCGAGTCCGAGCCTCCCGTACTTTTTCGCTCGAGTTCACCACGGAAAGTGGTGTTCGACAGGGTTGCCCTCTCTCTCTCTCTCCATTTCTTCTTAATTTTGTCCTATCCTCGTACAACGATAGCGGCGTCGATTTACTTCCAGGGGGAAGGCTGTCTGATCTAGAGTATCCAGACGATATTGTGCTTCTGAGTGAAGATCCAGTTAAGTTGCAAGCTTTTCTGTATAGTTTGAGTGCTAGTGTAGCCATGTTCGGTATGCGTTTTATACATTCAAAGTGTAAAATGTTACTACAAGACTGGGTTGGTCTATCATCCAAACTCACTCTAACTGGGAAGTAATAGAGCAAGTGGATAAGTTTTGCTACTTGGGCAGCTACATCTCACCCGGTGTCAGCTCGCATGAGGCAGCTATATCTCACCCGGCGGACGCATCACAGATGAACTGTCGGCGCGCATACAAAAAAGCTCGGTTGGCATTTGCTAACTTGAGACATCTGTGGCGCCGTCGCGACATCCGGCTGTCTGTGAAGGGTCGAGTGTATGCCGTGGCAGTTCAACTAGTTCTGCTCTAGGGTGCAGAGACTTAGCCATTAAGAAAACAAGATAGACTATCGCCGTTTGAACATGGCTATGTAGGGCCAATTGCACGAATCTGGTGGGGCAGCTGTACGAGCAATACTGAGGCTAGGCACAGAGTTTTAGTTATTTGCGGTCGCGTATAGTTGTGGGTGGGTGTCTAGAGTTCCGTCTGGTCACCCTTCCGTTGCAACTCGTGAGACGCTCCTGTACGACCAAGCGTCTCAAACAGTCTCTACCGAAGAAACCCTACTCACTGCCTTCTCGCGGCAAACGTGTTTTCCCACCAAAATGAGAGAACGAATAGCTGACATCCGGGGTTATGACCGGGTTGATGGACCACTGGTAGTTCACCTAGGGGAGTTGGCCAAAACTCATGATTCCGAACCGCCCAAGAAGAGGCTTGCGAACTACAGACCCACAGCTTCATCATCAACCCAATTGGGCATCGAGGTGCCTTGAGCACCTTCGGTGTTTGACCCCGTCCAAAGGGCGTATGATCCGATGAACAGGATATCGGCTCCCAATGCATTGCGGTTTTCGCACACCGCCCCGCTGCCTTGAGGGTCAGGCTTTGGTTAGCCAAAGGCCTCGGTTGTGGATTCCTCAAGAAAATTCACCCTCCTTGGCCTGGGCAACCTGACAGTATTCCGCTCACATGCAAATCACGGAACGTCTTTCTTTTTCATAAAGATATTTGTACCATGATTTGTTCGGCACAGTCTGGATTCCGACGTCTGTGAAAATATAAAAATTATATATATATATATGTGTGTGTGTGTAACTGCGGTCGCTCACCGCAGCAAGTGATCAACCCCCATAGATTACGTTGGTTAGGTCATGTGTTACGCATGTCAGCAAATAGGTTGGCACGACGAAAGATGTTCACCGAGGCAGGCAGTGGGTGGAATAAAGCCAAGGGTGGTCAAGTTAAGATCTGACACGAGGGTATGAAAACCCTAACCAGGAAACTGGGTCACATAGGTCCTGTTAGGCTCCCTGGCTGGGGACCTCGGGATGATCGTACCCGATTGTTAGAGACTGAGTGATATGGCTGGGTGTCGTAAACAGTGGCGTTCGTGCATCTCCTCAATTTCTTTGCAACCTTAGACCACTTAGCTTCTCCGTTTTCTATTCGACTCTAATTTTAACTTTCTTGTCCTTCTCCTACTGTTCATCCAAATGGGCGACCAAAAGACAGCAGCCAAAACCGGCGCACCAAAGTGCTTTATTAATGATTGTTCAAACTGAAACTAAATTACTAGCTTATTCGAATCCATCTCGGTCTCAATAAGCTCACGCAGGACGCTTGGTAGGTTATCTAAGATCATCCCTCCAACTGCACAGTTATTACCATAACAATAACTCATTAATTTATATGTATTTCAACCTGCTGGTTAGTGTACAGAAATTCCATTTACCTTGTTATGATATCTTCACGATTGAAACATGTTCCTCAATTAGTTTATTGGAATTTCAAACTACCTGTTTGTCAAAGTTCCCAATTCTTTGTCAGTTTATGTGTATATTTTTCAGCTTACTCGTCCCGTCGGTCGTCAACTTGGTAACAATTCTATCGACCCCGCCCTATACGCTGACTTCGAACATTGTGATTTTGGTGTTCTTCCCCTTGATACTATTTATCTTTGTTCCATGGAAAAAACCCGTGATGCTGACGGTTTCTACATTAGTCCTGCCCATATGACTTTTATGCGCCCTGTCCTATAACCGACCACTACTAGAATGAGTCCACGCTCAACGGATCCATTCCTTCCCGGGTTTCCCGCCCGCAAATCGGATAACGAGTTATGGCTCAATCACACAACTGGTGACCGGTCGGAGTACCAAAATGGAGAAGAAGAATAACCACAATTCGGATTTTACGACTACCTTTCATCTCATTACTTTTTACCCATATAATCTATATAATTTAAAATAATGTAACAGTTAATTCTTCCTATCATTGATTTATCATTTTTATAATCAACAAGGGAATCGGACCAAGTTTTAAACCCAGATCCAGAAAATATGAGCGATTGGAAGTTTATCTGTCATGGTTCTCCAATTATTTTATTGTATCATCATTGTGCAGCGAAATACAGTGAAGTAAATTTCACCGATCGTTGCCAAGCTCTCAATGTACACAAAATAAGTGAGAACGTATAAGGTGGATTGAGATTGAGTCTATTTTCAGAGTGAACGCGGGAAGGAGAAGGTAACCCACTATGATCAACACAGAATACACGATCTGACTGTGCATACACACTTTTTCAAGTATTCTGGCCTGATGAGAAGTGATGACGAGGACGTGATTACTGTCGGTTTGCTGCCATATCCTTCACTTCATCCAACCAACCCAAACCTAGAAGGAAACGAAATCTACTCTACTTAATCGCTCTGTGCATTTTTTCATGCATTTTTCCACGCTATCTGTTGACCTTCACATGATTTCTTACAACCTGAAGCAGAAACTGCGAACAAGGCACGATGCGGCAGGCGACCGATGGATATGCAGAATTCGTGTTCTAACCCGCGAAGCTTATTAATCTAAATTCGGTGTGATAACCAATTTTCCACTGAATCATGCCCAACTACTCGCTGGACTACCTCAAAGTTGCTTAAACACAATAAAAATATTCTTAGTACTGCACAGGACAGTCCCAGGGAATGACTTGGTCAATCCGCTAAAAATAACAGAATCATTCTAAATTCGGTCCCGCGCACAGCAAGTGGATTGTGAACTGGAAAGCTAGGAAGCACTATACAGCTGTTTCGACTTGGTTTGCTCTCATCTATACGGCAAATAAATCGAGATAGTAGCAGTTTCCCCTCAGAGTATGGTTCATTTATTTTACTTCATTTAAGAATGGCCACGGGGTCATGATTTTCTGTTTTAATCCAACGACGAGCAGTTGAGAAGAACGGTCTTACTTACAGTTTTATGGTCTTGTCCGGGGTCAGGAAATGATTCGGTTCAGAGGCCGATGCGCTGGCTTAGGTTAGACGTTCAACTGAAACGAAATAATCTTCTTTCAGGTTGGTCTCATTGATGTTATTTTGATGCGTACTGTTTAAAAATAGAATGTCGTTTACACTGTCTTCTCTTCGGACAAGCCAGATGTCATAGCCATGCAGTGAACTGTCACCTACATCGGCTGCTGCAACCATGATGAGAACGTGTCGTGCACGACACAATATCTCGTGTTTCTTAGAAACCAGCTCTGGAAAAAACTCCGAAGTGTGCATGCATATTGTTCGGTTTGGACTCACCATCGCTCAGAATAGTTGTAGGCCTAAGCTCCGGTTTGTTACTCATCCATGCGGGTATAAAAGCAATACTGGATCCCTCGTATTTCGTCGATCAATTACTTGAAATCTTGTGTTGACTTTGTCATTTCTCAGTCAGCCGGATGTGTTCTTGTTTATTGTAGAGAGATGATGATGCACATTTCGCACACATCAAACTTGCACTGTGATAGGCTGGGAAAACTTGGTTTCACAATGTATGAGAAAACCCCACTGCTGTTAGTGTACAGAGTTCGTTCATATCCGACCCTCCTCAATAGATGTTGAACAAACATTGATTCAATGAACTAGTGGTAACTCTAGTGCATGAAATTCCATCTACCCTACCATGTGACTAAGGCACTCAGATTGATTAAATCTGTATGATGGTGAAGCAACTGGTTGTTGTATAATAAAAATAATTGGATTTTAATTGTGATCCTGCTCAGTTGATGCAACTTAGGAAATCTATCTGTTAATATGCAAGATGTTATCAGTCCCACTGTAGGAAAAATATATGGTTACAAAATGCAGATCTTTATTATTTGCGTTTAAAACACAACGCTCAGACCTATTTTTATTTCGAAAATGTGCTGTTCAAGTGTGTTTGGGGGGGGGGGGGGNGGACAACTGCTCGTGAAGAGTACGAAATACCGTTCGATATGTGAGATCCCTGTTTACCAATGGATTTGAGGCACTTAAAGCTCATTTAGAATCCAGACTGAACTGCTCATCGCGGTGCAAAACTATCGTTTCCAATGAATTTTCTGGAACCGGGAAGAGAAGCCCGTTCAAAGTGTGGACACAACAGTCAGTTGTGAGATCTGGGATTTTTCATCAGTAGAAATGGCACAGACCATGATAGAGCTCCACCGTATACTTGACGCCTGAAGGCTGTATTAAACGTTACACCAGTTCAGTTTGTGGGATTCCCAACCCATGCAACTTGGAAATTCGTGTGAAGGATTGTTATCCATGCCATTGATTTAAACTTCCTGAATTGTAACTGTGGTGCAATATTTAATACGCAAGCGTAATGCTTACAGTAAACAAAACCCCTTTTTTTACCTGATTTAAAGCAGCGCCTACTCGGGGATCTTTTCGAATCTGCTCATTTATTCTCAGAGTTAAGCCAATATATGAATCGACTGCATACCCTTCGTCTGTTCCGGCAAACTGCATGCATGTCTAAGAACTCAACCACGATGTCTTATCTTGACGGTCGTCCCTTAATTACCTTGCGAAAGATGAACGTTGTTCACCATGTGTAGCTAGACATTTCTCAGCACATTTGAGGCATGATTGGTGAGCTGTTCTCAACTAAAATGGCATAATTCCTAGGATACATCATTTCATCAGCGACATATTTAAAATCGAGTTAATTTCGCCAAATGTCACTGAGTACCAAATTTCCTCAACTTGGGTGGTTTGGTAAATAAGAAATTGCAGATAAACAAAGTGGAATTACTAGGATTTCGTTCACTGCGATAAAATTATTTCCCGACTGGCCATGGAAGGCGTATAAGCGGAGCAACAAGATAGCGATGAGCAATCATGGCAATAATGGGCGTGGTCAGTGGAAGCTTGTTCAATCAATCATAGCACCTATTGATGTAGTATTTTCACATATCTCAATATATTTTACAGAATTGGATAGAAACAGGTCTAATTGTGGGAGATTAAATCCCGGTATTCAATGAAGCTTTTACAAACTGGGAAAGCCGTCTCTCGGGAAAGAGACCAAGGGACTGTAATCAAGAGACGCTACAGTGTTGTGCAGATGAATACGATGAGAACTGTGTGCACAGTCCATTGTGCTACTTCTAAATGTTTATACTCTCTCAGCCAGTCTTTCAGTTTCATCCATTTCTTCATGAGGAGAACAACTAGGTGTTCAGAAGCTAACAGAAGTGCAGGATTTGTGGTTCTGTGAGCTGAAATTAGCTAACACTCAAGTTAGAAAAGCATGGTCGTTTATTGCAATCATTCGCTGGCAAAATGTATGGACATGGGATCATTAGTTGATCACTTTCGAAAATGAAAAATACACTGAAACTGGAGGCAAAATAACTCATCGAATTTGTAAGCGCACCTCGCTAATCATTATGGAAAATTTGTACTGCAAGAACCCGCGCGCCCTTCGATTGGCTGCGCTACACTCATGCTTGTTCGTCACGTTGGAATCTATCGTTTACTTCATTCATATAACTGTGCTAATCATGACCAGGAGCTACAATTATTCTCGTCAGGACATGCTACGACTACCCACTGCTACCCACTGATTATTTTCTTGGTGAGAGTCATAAAAGCCCTTGGATCAAAAAACGCAGACGGGCCGGATGGCAGACTGCAGTTACTCGCACACCTGCCAAGATCACTGTGTCATCATTGGCTAGCACCAACGTTCACTCACTATTCGCAAAGATCTCGGATTTAACCTCTATTCTGAACCCACGCATTAATTCCAACACATGTGTTGTTTGTGTGCAAGAAACCTGTCTAAATCAAAACATCGAGGACGTTCTCGTGCAAATAGAAGGTCATCCAAGGACATGTGAACTTAATTTTCCTCAAACTCGCGTTACGGCGGAAGAAGTTTCCTACGCTGACTTTGAGTGCCAGCCTTTTACGATGGATATCGGTTTTTCCATGTTGATGAAGCTTTTCAGGCCGAATTAAGCCACCGGCACCTTCCCAGAGCGAGTACGACCAGGGTCCATAAATCCTCCTTCACCAACTTCCAACTGATCCAGCCTGAAAAACCAGGTCGCGACCCCACTGCATTTGAGCCTAGAACCCTAGGTAGTGACCAAACGAGACTCGGTTGGACTACGCGTACCCTGTTTATGACATACATGAGTACAGTCAGAAAGTTCGCCAAGCACTCAGCGTCGTACTCTCTTTCTCGTTATGGGACAAGAAAGGGTGGTTACCAGTATACACTAATAAATGCACAGGAATGCATGGATGTAAGGACGGTATGGTGTTTTGAATATGTTTGAACGTGTGAGTGGCTGAGGTACAAGTACGTCGGGTGGTATTAAGGTGATACGCAATCAAGGGCGTGGGTAATCAAACGTAGGCTAAGGTGAATCTTGTCTGTCTTTTTCGTGCTACACGCTCGTACCAACTCTTTCCAGATAAACGTTCAAGTGGCCCCTACTGGATCGTACTAAAGAAAACACCGTTAAGTGAGGCGAGAATTTCAAAAGCTGTCGAAGCTCAATGAGAGTATTGGAGCTTGAATGCGCAAGAAACTGGACGCTCGTTTGGCATCAGCCGCTAGTCCTGTGACCTAACCTGACCTGACCTGACCTGATTGCTACCGGCAGGATAGACAGCGAAGTAGGAAAAAAGCCGGAGGCGGTGTGGCTACTTACATCAATGTTTCCTGGTGTGGCAAGTCAGAAGTTATATATAACTATTCTGAAAAGTGCATTGAC